AGAGCCTGGGGTTGTCTTCACTGCGGCCCCGGCCCCCCGCTGTCAGGAGGGAAGGGCCCCCAGGGGAAGGGGTGGCACTGGGATCCTGAGGGGCCGCATCTGGAAGCTCAGCAATTGCCTGGTGAGCAGTGAGGGATGCTGGGGCAGGAGAGGAAAAGGCTCCCTGGCGCTCCGCCCTCCAGAGAGTCCAGACACAATGGAGCCTGCCCACCCAGGAAACCATCTTGCCCCTTTGTTCTCTGTCCTTGAGGGACATGCTGAGCTCCTTTGTCCATCCACCCAGTGAAAGCAGACTGCCAGCCCTTCTCCCCCATTTTAAAGAGGTGGGGGGCTCTGGGGAAGGCACATGATGACACCATTTTGGGCGGGGACAGGAGAGTCTGTGAATGTGTCATTGAGGGCAATTTCCAGGGTGGGCTGCACCACTGGGGCTGGGTGGGCGTCTCTAACTGGGGAGGGGCTGCTGAACATAGCACTTGCAGTAGGTTGGGGAGACAGTCCCCCACAGTCCTCAGATCTGGCTTTCCTATTTGAGACGAAGAAGGGGGTGTAGTGTGTGGCAGACACTCCCAGCCACAGGGTGGGGATCACACCCCATGTTTATGGTCTGTCAAGGAGGACAGAGATGCCCTTGGATTGGGGAACAAGGTCAGGGAGGAGGAGTGGAGGGAAGAACCCAAACCTAACTAGGGTTGTGCCCCTGGCTGTTAGGTGTGGAAAGAGCTCACACACGATCCCTCCACTCTCTCACTTGGGCACGCTCAGATAGACATGGACTCTCACCCTTGACGTGGAGTGGAGATTTCACGCCATCTCTTGGCGCCTCGGGTGGGAAAGCGGAGACCAACCCCCACTGTTCCCTGCTCCCGACTGTGGGTTTCTGAATTATCTCCTAGCTTGCTACTTGTGGGGGTGGGGTGCTGCTCCCCCTCCCATTCGCTATCTGCATCCTGGCTTCTTATCAAGTCCCTGCTTGCCATCCACGGGACCTGTCAAAGGGTCTTGTCTGGCAGGTGTCAAAGCACAGGCTGGGGACCCCTTGTCCTCGAGTTTGACAGAGGGGTGGGGGGGCTGGTCCCGGAGCTTGGCAGAAGGCCCAGCTGGGTGTCTGCAGGTGGACTGCAGTACGGGGGACATGGTCACGTACCTACCCAGAGTGAGAGTGAGGCGCAGCATGGTCACTGAGGCCCGGTGCCCTCTGGGGGCTGGCGGCACGGGAGGGGGAACCGGTGGATGAATGGATGGGCCCGGGGGTGTCTCCCCAGCTCCTGTTTCTGTTTGGACTTTGTCAGTGTCTTCAGAGGCGCAAAGCCCTCAGAATAAACAGCTGGTGATAAAATCTACTTTCAGCCAAGTATCTCAGGAATTTATGCATTGGCTCCTACCCCTCCCTCTGCGCTCCAGGGTGACAGCTGAGACTCTGGGGTCACACTCCCTGTCCCCCTCCTATGCCTCCTCCTCACTCTCCCATTGTAGTAGAAGCAGAGGGGAAGGTTCAGGAGAGGTGGCCAGGCCGGACTCATGGGGTAGAGAGGATGCTCTGAGGGCACACAGGGAAAGGAGAGAATTAAGGCAGAAGAGGGTGACTCTGGAATGAAATTTTGGGTCAAGTGACCTTTTGATTTGGCCTCCCCGAGTCTAGCCAGATTCTTGAACCAAATCCTGCCTTCTGGCCCCTGCACCATGTCCCTTTCTCCAGGACACACTGGTCTCTCCCACCCTTCCCCACACATAGCTCGGGGTCCTGTCCTGCCTTGCACACCTGTCCCACCCCAGCTGTCCCCTCCTGCTGGTCTTTTGCACAGTCCTCTCCCCCTCTCCCCTGGAGTGTTCTTTGTCCAGGCAAGATGTCTCTTCAGGCTTGAGAACACGCCCCTCTTCCCTCTGCAGACTCAAGGACCCCAGCTGTTGGGCCAAAAGGGGGCCCCAGGGCCACTGGGTCAGGGACCTTCAAACTGCTCCGTGGCCAGGGATCCAGAGGGCCACGGGTTCCTCGATACCAATGCAGCCTGTTCCTATAGATTGACTTTGCTCCCTTCCGAGTGAAATTTGGTTTGAACAAAGGGTTTAAGAGCTGCATATTAAGTGGAAGCAATTTATCTAAACTCTAGTTTTGTAGAGAAGTCACAGGAAAGCCCTGTCAGTGCTAAGAGTTCAACATGGTTTGTCCTGCTCCCCGTGAACCTCCTCTAGTAGGGTCAGCCACCTTGTGTGTGTACGCAGAGGGCCCACCCTACAGTTACCCCCCAGACGCCCCCCATCAGGTGTGAATGGCACGTCCTGGAGTTGTACCTTACAGTGGCCACCTGTATCCCATCTTCATTCTGCACCATTCATCTTCCAGATCCTTCTCTTTGAGGCCTCCAGTGCCCGCGCATTATCCAGAGGACAAAGTTTAGACTTGGTCTGTTGCTCAAGGCCCAGCAAGTGAGGCCCATGCTTACTTTCCATGCTCTGTGGATTCCACTCTGTTGCCCTCAGGGGCTGGCAGGCTTTCTCTGGAAGGGCCAGCAAATACAGACTGAGGTCCTGTGGGTCACACAAGGTCCTGTTGTGCTTTGCCTCATAACCTCTAAGCAAAAACCGGCTGGGGCCAGAGTTGACCTGTGGGCTGGACACACTTGTCCAGCAGAAGCACTTTTGGTTCTTACATCGTTCTGTGGCCTTATAAGACGTCTCTGTCTAGTGAGTGGATGAGTCAGTTAGTGATGAGGAAAAAGAGCAAGAAAAAAACAAATGTGCAAGAATCTATTCCGTCTGGACGTGCGTGAACCCACTGAGTCTGCTTTTTTCTTGCCGCCTGACTCTGCCGCTCGGGGCTGAGCTGTGTGGAGGGCAGCAGTGTGGACCTTACCCCACTAAATCTTCTGTGCCCCCAGGTACCATCGCGCCTGAACGCTGTCACCATGCCTGAAGTGTAAGTCGTCCCACCCCCCACCTGGGGCTCCAAGAAGGCCAGGCCCTTTGCCAGGGATTTCAGCGCCATAGTTGAGGCTGCCTCTGTCCAACCCTGGTGCAGTTCCCGAGACAGGAGCAGCCTGTGTCCTGCTGTGGCCAGGAGTCTGCCTGTGAACAGAGCTCGCGCTCCTGGCTGCGGGACACCTTTGGCCGAGTTTCCGCCTGTCTCTCCCGATTAAGTGAATCACATGTTTCGGGCCATGAGCTAATGTGGCTCCAATAGATGAGCGAAATTTCCAAGCCCAGGGGTGGGCACTTTCTTGCTGGAACCCTGCACCCACTCTTCCTTGAGTTTCCACCATGTCTCCCCGAATTATCCTGGCGGTTTCCCCGAAAAGAGCCTCCTGTAGCCTGAAGGGTCATTGGGCTTTGATTTGTTCTGCTGGAACCCTTGACCTCGTCCCCCTCCCTGGTGCCTGGTTTCCTTCTGGTGTACCCCTATCTTCCCCCCAAGCTTGCCCACCCGACTCTGCTGCAAATGAAATACACCATTGCTCATCCTCACTCTGTGTTCTGCTCTCCCCCCTAACCGCTGTTTCCTGTGGTGGATGCCTGAAGAGAGGTAAGTGATCTCTGGGGAACCTCTTGTTCTGGCTAAGTCTTCAGACTGGTGAGGGTGGTCTGGGCATCTGAGGAGAGGAGAGAACTTAGGTCAAGGCTGGGAGTGGGGTGCCCCAGTGGCGGAGCAAATGTCTAGGAAAGCAGGATCTTTGGGTGAGGATTCTGAATGTGGGGCTCCCCAGGATCCAGGGAGTGGGTGGCCCCTCAGTACAGTGTCACTGGAAGGCGGTTCTGGAGCTGGGTAGTAGGGCTGGGTGAACCCCACTGCACCCCACTTTGCTCATCCAGGCCTTCCAAGCCCAGTCCCACACAAAG